TTTTTTTTTTTTTTTTTTTTTTTTTTTGAAGAAGCGCTTCTTCGATTTTCCAAGAAATTGAGATCCTCTTGAACCTTCGTTTCAGGAGGTTTCGTTAATGCGTTTCGTTCGCAGTTCTCCAACAAATTCGTCGTAATTTTTAAACGCGGTTTTAAAATTTTATATATATTATACAAATTGCATTTTTTTTTACGGGGGAAAAACACGATGCGAAAAATATCCCGATCGTATCCGATTTCATCCGTATTGGAGAAAGATCGATACGCTTATCACTGTGGAGATTTTTGCATCTCATTATAAATTGAAATCTTCGAGTAACGAGTATTAAAGAGGGAATATTGGAACGTTGGATGTTCCAACTTTGAAACCTGTGCGATTTTTAATATCCTCGAGGCGATATTTTTTCCTTCTCCTCCTGCCCCCTTCCCCTCTCTTTCATTAACATCCGTATCACGTACTTCGGTATAATAGTACCTCGGTTACATCGCGGGTCTTTGTGATATGATTGATATTCGAAACGTGCTCCTTTTCGCTTTTTAACGTTCGCAAATTCAAACGTGAAAATTTCAATCCTTTTGAAATCTCGTGCCTTTTGATATCCTCGTGGCCGGGATAAAAAGAAAATTCAGGCTGATATAATAATTTTAATTAACACAGTGATAAAATATCCACCGTTGCGCAGATACGATCTTGTCCGTGATCTCTCGTGATGTTGTCTCTCGCGAGACATCAAATACATCGAATGCACGGAATATTTCATAAAAGAGGTTTGCCAAATGAATTAAAAGATAAATATAAATAGAAAATTTTTCCACAGAATTGGGTTGTTCTCTCTCTCTGCGCGTTTGTATTTATCTCTTGCTTTATATTTCGATCGGTGCTCCTTGCGATCTTGTTCCAATACAAAATTGTACAAAATTATTCGTCCGAATGGAATAACTTTCGATAAGAAATTCTTGTTACAATATTTTCAATTTCAATTCTGTTTAAACGTCACGTGAAATTATTCGTTGAAAAATTAGCCTGTATGCACAAATATGCGCTCGATTAAGTGGCGTGTAAGAGGCACCGTTATCTCTAATGGTGGAGAGGTGAGCGTCAATCCGTGAGAAAGATTAATGGTTCAGCATTATCGAGCAGATACAGTGAAGTTAATCTGTAGGTTTTTCACGCGCGGGAAGTCTTCATTTGACGTGCCGAAAATTCGTTTATCACGCTCGACAAAACCGCGATCACCTCCTCCACGTTGTGCACGTTTTTCCACCTGCCCTATCCTTCATCTTCATATTTTTATTATCGTAGATATTACCACAGCAATTATTCTACCGTCGAGTAAAAGAATAATTCCGATACCGGAAAAATAAGAAACGCTCTTTCAATTATAATTATAATCAATTTATAATGTGTATCTTTCTTTCTTTCCTTCTTTCTTTTTTTTGCATCCTGAAAACAAATTCAAAGATCACTGGCGAAGGAAGGAAGAAATAGAAAAACAAGAAAAGAATGCAGGAGCGAAATGCGAAAAGAATAACCCGTTAAAGAGAATAACGAACGAGAGGTTAAAGGTCTCGTCGTTTGATCAATCAAGGGGTCAAAAAGGTTTAAACACAAGCCTCTCGAGCGAGGTTTTACTTTCAACGAGCCATCGCTAATGCGTACGAGCGTTTTCGCGATTGATGCGTGCAACGATTATTAACTAATTATTAACTCGAAACGGTGCCACGGTCGAGAAATCCTGCCCACGCCTCTTCGCGTTCCTTCCTCGAGTACAAAAGATTCGCGCGCGAGCGACTCGTCTTTTTTCTTTTCAACATTGTTGCCGACGAATCGAAGAGAGATAGCCAGAGTTGTATCCTCTTGGTGGCGTCCCACTGTTATTGGCACCGGTCCAAAAACCCTCTGTTCAAAGAAGCGGTGAAGCGAGGATAACGTTGGGTAAAAGATGCTCGCACGATAGACAGAGATGTCTTTATTTATACTCCTCCCTCCTCTCTTGTAATCCGGAATAGTTTCTCTCGACACGGTTTCTCATCAAATCGTCTCTTCGTCTCCCTATCGTTAATTTCAACAACATCGTTCGTCCATATGTGCAAAATTTGAAAAATTAATCGTTCTTTCCTTTCCTGTGATTGAACGAAGAAGCGATATAATAATTCGTCTGTAGATACGCAGATGAATCACATTATAAATGAACGCGTGCGTACGTCGCTTTCGCGGAATCGACGAACGAGCGTAGAAAGATCGGTGCTCGCTCGTGCAAAGAAAGTGTATCGAGACCACGCGTGTAATTAGTATTCGCGTATACGCGCGGTCGTTGCGAGGGAGAGCAGACGAGAGGAGGAAACACGAGTCGTCGACTCGT